GGAGCCGGAAGTGGATGCCGCTATGCCACTGATGCTGCGTTTTGTGCTCGCCAATTTGTTTCCCAGACTACTGGAATCATACAAAGATTTCGAGGAACGAAAAGTGGCATCGGATTTCACACGACAAGCTTCTGCTCTGGCCACTGTATGCCGGGCATTTTTCAAGCAAATACCCAATTCGAACGAGAAACTGCATAAAACATGCGCAAAACTTGTTCGCGAATTAATCCAGAAATATGAAATTGGTATAAATTTCTTCACCATTTCGACTTCTTAATTCTCGAAATTTCCAACAAAATTTGAAAAAATTTTTATGGTGATGATAAGAAGTTACTCTATTTTAAATTTTTCAAAATTATTGAACCGAATTTTGTTTTATTTTCCATGCAGCTTCAATTTTTAGTATTTTTTAGCTGACAAAGCGGTACTGAAGGAGATCTGGCAGCTGTACACGCACATTGAACGAGCTGGCAATTACCATACGCGCTATTCGAACTTCCTACGTTTTGCTGCTTCTCAAGTAATAGACGTTCTTGAGGATGAAACAACTGTAAGTTCAATTGTTTTGAGGACACTATACGACAATTTGAGGTCATGCTAGAGCTTGGTTGGGCGCGTTAGCCAGTAATTTCTTCGGGATGTGGTTGGGTCTTAATCAAGCGCCTGGGATTTGCCAACTGGACGAGCAAGACCGGTGTTTTACAGAACTTTTGGCTTTGTAAGTTTGGATCTGATTGCTTCAAGTTTAGCGCAAAAAAAGAATGATTGTACCGGCAGGCCTGGTACTTCCTTACCTGGGGATGGAATTAATAAAAATAGTTTTCTAACTGTCAAAAATATTGAGATCGACCGATTAGGTCTGAGGATCCGATTTTCAAAATATTACGTGAACTTACTGAAGGAAATTTACTGAAGAAAATTTGTCTTCCATTTTTATAATGAGTGAATACAGATGGGATTTTAATTTTTGAATTTGACGCTCTTACTCGCGCGGTAGCCACATACAGGCCCGACGAAATTTTTTTTGGGTAAGTTGCTAATTCGAGTACCTGAAAAGCCAGAAGGCTGAAATTTTAAGGGGATGTTCCCCGTCCAAGTAGGTACTGATGAGTCTGACGTGAAAATCGTTTTCTGCAGCGTGCAGAGACGGATCAGGTGCTGATATCGTTAAATGCCTCAAACGTAGAGTTGTTCGCCGAAATGCTCGTCGCTGCCTGCTCGGCTTCATTGTCGGATGCTCGGCTGGCTGTTGAAATGATTTCACAAATCTTCATGCC